CGGGAGTGAGGGGCACCGGCAGGGCTGGGGGAGCAGGGACTGCGGGACGGGAGTAAGGGGCACCGGTAGGGCTGGGCTGGCAGGGGCTGCGGGACGGGAGTGAGGGGCACCGGCAGGGCTGGGGGGGTAGGGGCTGCGGGTCGGGAGTGAGGGGCATCTGAACCCCACATTCTCTCTCTCCTCCCCCCCCCTCCGCAGGATTTACAGCCACGACCCCTACCCCGACGTGCAGGGGCAGGATTCCCCCTCGGCCCGGCCCGGCCTGGCCCCCCTAACGCCGCAGCCCATCAGGTACGGACGCCCCCCAGTCCCACCCCGGGAAGTTTCCGGAGGGGACAAAGATTGTGGGGGGGTGGGGGGGACTGACCCAGAGGCCGGGTCACCGATCCAGAGCGACCGGGGGCAGGGGCTGTGTAAACGGGGCGGCAGGAAGCAATCTGGTGTCATGCGTTTCCGTGGAAACCTGGATGCCTAGGCGCGAAGGGGGTGGGCTGATGGGCTGGGGGGCAGCGCCCCTGAAGGAACTTTGCGGGGCCACGGCAAAGGGCTGACGGGGTCCCGGGGGAGCTCTGGGGGTGACCACGGCCGGGACCCTGCGGCCCCCGATTCAGGGAGGAGGAGATCGGTCGGGGAGGGGAGGAGGAAGGGGCTGGGCCCCCCCTGCCCAAGAGCGAGGGACTCCGGGAGGTCGGTCCCTTGGGCGCAGAGAGGGGAAGGGAGCTGCTGACCCGGCTCTCGTCTGCCTGTGCCCCCCCCACGCCCCCCACCAGCTCCCACCAGCAGTGCCTGAGCCCCGACGCCTTCAGCTTCCCGGACCCCCCCGGCGGGGGGCAGCCCCTCCAGCGCCACCGCTCCACCTCCACCCCCAACGTGCACATGGTGAGCACGGCCGACCCCGGGGACGCCGCCGCCCGGCAGGTGAGAGCCCGGCAGGGCAGGGAATGGGGCCCGGGGCCTGGCGCCTCTGGGGGGTGCCGGCTCCCATCTGCCCCAGGGCAGGGACTGGCTAGCTCATGGGGGGGCGAGGGGGAGGGAATGGGGCCCAGGGCCCAAGGGGGGCCAGCGAGTGTGGGCAGCGGGGGGGCTGGGAGAAGGGGCCAGGAATTGGGGGGCGCGGAGACGGGGACCCGTGGACAGACGGATGCCCGCTGCCCCAGACGGACAGACCCTGGCGGGCGCGTTTCCTCTCAAGGTCTCTGAGCTCTTCCCCCCTTTTTCAGATTGCAGCCATGAGCTTCATCACAGACGGTGAGAACCCCAGAGATTTGGGGGCGCTGTGCTGCAGGGGGAGGCGGGGGGCACGGTGCTGCTGGGGGCGGGTGGGGGTTCAGGGGGCGCTGTGCTGCAGGGGGTTCGGTGGGGGGGCGTAGTGCTGCAGGGGCCAGGAGGGGGGCATGGTGCTGCCGGGGGCGGGTGGGAGCTCGGGGGGGGTTGGGGGCTGAGTGGGGGGCGGGGGGCTGCTCTGGGGTCCCCGGCTCACTCCACTCTCTCTGCCCAGCACCAGCCGGGGGGGAAGGGTTTCCCCCAGATCCCAGCCCTGCCCAGGAGCCTCCCGGGCGCCGCGAGGCCCCCTCCAAGTCGCCCCCGCAGCCCCCCAAGGAGCGGAAGGGGTCAGCGTCGTCGGCCGAGGACAAGAAGAAGGTGGTGAGTTGGGGGAGGCGGCTGGGGGGATGTCTGCCCCCCTCAGTGTCCCTTCCCCCCATGACACCCTGCCCCTCCCTCATGCCCTTCCCCCCAGCCCCCCAATCCTGCCCTACTCCCCCAGCCTTGTACTCCCCTCCCCCTCTCCCACATCGGGTCCCCGTCTCCTGCCCCCCCCCCCACCTGCTATCTCTGACCCCCGTCCCCACGGCTCCTGACGTGACCCCCCCCCACTCCTGAGCCTGTGCCCCCAACTCCATCCCCTGCCCCCTGAGTCCTCCACGCCACCGATGAGGGGCAGGGGCGAGAAAGGCCGGTCGTATCGGGGGTGTGGGAGGGGGGGCGCGGACAGTACCCATCCTGCTCCGGGGCGCTCCACGGAGAGGGTGGGGTCTGGAGAAGAGACAACTGCGGGACGGGGGGGGCCAGCCCAGAGGCCTTCCCATGAAGCGGGGCTCCGAGGAAGCCGGGGATCGACCAATCTCCAGGGATCTGCACCAGGGGAAACTGAGGCTGGGTCCGGGGCTGGTGGCGGCGTTTGGCTGAGGAATCCCCCCCAGGCTGGGCAGAGGCCGGCCGGGCTGGGGTGTGTTGGGGGAGGGAACCGGACGAGCCCCCCACTGCCCTCTCCCCCCCCCCCCCGCCCCCATTGCAGAAGGCCTTGGGCTACCGGGACTCGGGCTACCAGTGGGAGGTGCCCCCGCACGAGGTGATCCTGCTGCGCCGGGTGGGAGCTGGGTCCTTCGGCACCGTCTACCAGGGCCGCTGGCACGGCCACGTGGCTGTCAAAATCCTCAAGGTGACGCAGCCCACGGCCCAGCAGGTGCAGGCCTTCAAGAACGAGATGCAGGTACTCAGGTAGGAACCCCGGCGTCCGGGAGGGGCGCTGGCCTCTGAGAGGGGGGCAGGAGGGACCCCGGCATCCAGCGGGGATCCGGAGGCGGGTGGCAGGGAGGGACGCTGGCCTCTGGGGGGAGCAGGAGGGATCCTGTTATCCAGGGGGAACCCTGGCGTCCGGGTGGGGTGGAAGGACCCTGGAGTCCGGGGTGTGCAAAGGCAGACTGGGGAGGGGGCCCCGGTGTCAGGGTTGGTAGGCCGGAAGGAGGGACCCAGGCATCCAGGGGTTCATGGAGCAAGAGGAGGGACTCCGGCTTCCAGGGGGTTAGCAGTTTGCAGGGTAGGAGTCTGGGGATGGCAGTCGGGGGCACCCAGGTGTCCGGGCTTGGCGGTTTGCAGCGGGAGGGACCCAGGCATCCGGAGGTGGTGGTCAGGGGGAACCCAGGTATCTGGGGGGGGGGGAGGCGAAAGAGACCCTGGTGTCTGGGGGGACCGGTCTGGGGTGGGGGCCAGGCGTCCAGGGATGGTGTTGT